CCGTTTAAATCCTGCGAACGAATGGAATATATCTTTAGTGGCCTGCTTGCGTTCCCTGGGGTCGTTAAGATGCTCTAGGTAGTTACGAAGCGAAGGTTCGTACTAAATAAGAGCGTCCTTCTTAAGACGTATTCTGGCTAAGACTACCTTATCGGCTTCCGTAGTAAACTGGTTTTAATTATACAGGAAGTACGCCTTATAGTGGGTAAGGAACCCCTAAAGTATCTTCTAGTTACCGTTATATATAGCGGGTTTATCTATTTTATAGCCGTTGGAGTTATAATAATGAATATTAGTAATTATAGTATTATTATCGCTATTGTAATATATAAGTTATAGTGCCTGGTTTGCAAGCTATTATTACTAATCGGTAAGTTATTCTTCTTAAGACGTAATTTACTCTTCCTAAGTCGTAATAGTTATATTCTATTGCTCGATTTATACTTCTATCTAGGTAATACGCCGTTGGAAATTGCAAAGTTCCTAAATAACTTATTCTGCTATAAGCTCGCGCTAAGCTGGGGCGGATAAAGTGGGAGTCTGAGGAGCTATATCTGTACTTGGTATTGCTTAAAGGGTGTACGTGGACCGTTCTAAACAAGAGTTGTAAAAATGTAATGATCCTTGCCTATATCCCTGATACTGGAGGTTCCTGTAAATTGTATATTAGCAGATAAAGGAGGTATTACCTTTAGTTTATATACTGAACAATATTAAGTACGTTTGCTGTCTATACTAAGTATCGATGCAGTAGATTAAGAGGGATTACCCTATCTATTCTTAAAGAGATTCACTTATCTTAAGAACGATGCTTAGATTTACAACTAAAGATTATAAGGAAACTACCTAAATTAAAGTGCTGAACTCCTGTCCTTATATCCTTCCGTTGTTCCTATAGTTGGTGAGTGGCTTATCCAAGCTCACTATTGCTCACTGATGCTTATCGATGCTTACTGGCGTTCCGGTAAGCAGCCGTAAGCTATACGGTATCCCTAACCCTGACATTAGGTAATCCGATGTGATACTGATATAAGAGATCCTGTCGGTCCGTTGAGGTTCCGAGCTCGTGCTATGTTGTGTTGGCCTGTTCCTGTGACCTGCATAATCGTGGGTCATAACATATACCATGCAGCCCTCTTACTCGGACTGCGTTCCATAATACGATCTTACTGGGTAATATCAGAGGCTGGCGTCCGGGCGTGCTTATGGATATACCGTATAGTGCCGTTGCTCTACATAGTGTCCAACATCCGCGTGGTGGCGCAAGGAATAGGATTGATGGTATGTGCCCTACCCCCAGGAAATGCGGCGAGTTAAGCCTCGAGTCTGATTGCTATTTTCACAAAAGGCGTGCTTCAGCCAGCATTGCGAAACTATATCCTATCTCAATCTTCGAGCATGTTCCAGGCAAGTTACCAGCCACGGCAGATACAGGAAGATCTATTATTAATCTTCCATTCAGAGACAATAGACGAGACTGAGTTGTTCGAGTTACTGCGCCATTCTTCGTTGGACTGAGACGATCGAGCTCCGATCTACATTACGAGAGCTGATATCCATACCCTCGAACTCACCCGCAAGGATCTAAACAATTGCAAACAAAGAGGAGACTGAATACAATATGCTTATATTGTTAGGAGGTTATCAGAGCTGTTGCTTCAAGAAAGAAGACAGAAGTACTTGGAGGATGCAAACTATATGAGGTACTTTAACTGGCAGTTGCGGATAAGCCTGGTAGGATAACGAAAAGGGCAGCGTCTAAGCTATCACAGTAACGTACGATGCCGCTTCGCGATCCGCCAAAGCCGCGCTGCATGATATGTCCCGAGAGAGAGCCTTATAGAGATATAGGGGCGCTTTTCCAATACTACGATCGGACTTATAGTGAAATTTTTCTTCACCATTTTCTTGCCCCAAGTGCGAGATAGACGTTGTTATCAGCGGATGGAATGGGTGGTCAGCAGTTCTCTATCAATATTTAGAGCCGCGATGAATAGGTATTACACTGCGCTGCTGCCCATGCAGATATGGGAGCGGCTCTATCGACAATCACAGCAGACAGACACAGCAGGCTGGAGCGTAGAGCGAAAGCTGACTTAGCATGGTCGAATCGGTGAGTAGATGGGCCCACTACCTAGGACTCGACTTGTCCACGATGTGGATGGTCAATGGGGCCACCAAGGAAACTCGCTAAACAGCGAGCACATTAGCATACGACCTGCATTCTTCATAATCGTCGACAATGCACCTACGCCTTGCGACAGACGCCCGAAACAGATGATGATTACGTTGGCTGTCCAGAGGAAGAGTCACGACCAAGGCGGAAGCGGAGGCGGATAGCCACAAGACAAATGTCGCGGCAGCAGACAGAGGACAATCACCATGTACTTTCTTATGATTTGGACTATCTAGGAGTGCCAAAGGCACAATGCCACTATTCGTCTTTCAATGTGTATATACTGCGGAACATTGTACGCGGGGCCTATTGCTTGTCTCTTTTCCTTCGTTGTTTCTTCTCTTTCTTTCCTGTGCAGACCACTTTGTGATAGGCCAATCAGCACATCTCACAGATCCTCCATCCGGCTATGATGAAAATCGAACTCTCTTATTTCGGTGCGCTAGATTATAATTCTGCTCTTAAATTAGTTGATGCAATAGTATCTTTTGAATGTATTCGTCCGAGTATAATTTATCACCGTTTCCGCCCGTTATCTCTACAATAACCATATCTGGTTGAGCGCTAGCTCTACAATTTGATTGGTAGGGTGTATATTGTGTGGAAGCACGGTTAAGCTTCGTCTTTTTAACGTACTTCGTCTCATGCCCGAAGTTAGACGATAAGACAGTAGGGGTGGAAGTCCACTGGTGGTGAAAAGAGGAAGACTGAGAATTAGCGCCAGAGGGTATGTGCGGTCTTGAGCTAAGCGCGGGCCGTAGCTCGCTGGAACAAGCGCGCGGATAGGGAGTTGGTATATATATAGAACGTACTAAACTATACTTAGTACTGAGGAGCGTACGGATTATATACCTACTACAATTAAGTAGTGACTTAATCTCCTCGATCTCCATTCTAAAGTTATTCCTTTTACTCTAAATATTCTTAGTTATAATTAGTTAATTAAACCTTTGTCTGAAACTACCCTTTTGATCTAACATATCCATTATCCCGGACGTACCATCCGACAGTAGCGTGTCTGTTTCTATAAGGGTTGCTAGCCTTTTCAAAATGCAGTGGCGGAGGACGTCCTCGGCGGTTGCGGGGCCGAGACGGAACTGGAGCTGGGGGTGGAGATTGGGGTGGCAGCCAAGAGGCATCAAGCAGGTACCCATGTTGCACATTTCGTCAATTCTTGAAAGTTGTAACTACCCATATTGACCTGAGGCCCTCGTAAGCTTTTCAAGCTTAAACTACAAACACCCTCGTGATGCTTCGCATACCACGGCTGCGGATATCTCGGTCGCGCTTTCCCAGCGCAAGCGCCGCGCCGCGGCTTTACGAAGGGATCTCAGTCAGTTCCAGCAAGCATTCGTGCTGCGGGATACATTGCGACTGCTGGTGCGCTTGCTGCGATTGCTGCGACAGCCGCTTGGTGGTCGATAGATGCCCCCGATCTTCTGCCACTGCTAGAGAGTAGAGTAGACCAAGACCTCGTCCCCGAGTCCGATCCTTCGAAAGCCGAAGTGACGCGGATACTTACGCAAGAGGCGTATTCCTTTCAAGTCAGACATATTGCCAGCATCGAGAGATATGACGGTGCTCGGCTAGCTTCTAACAGCCCGTGTGAAGACCGCTTCACCCATGGCCCTCTCTCACCCTGGCATAACGGCAGTCCCTGGCTTGCATGGGCTCTTTTTGACGGGCATGCAGGATGGCGGACAGCGGACTTTCTAGAGAAGAACTTGATACCCTCGGTGCAACACGGCCTAAGTCAGATCAAGCCACCTTCAGGCGGAGAAACTGCGCCCGAACGAACACTCCATGGTGCGATCATGAAAGCGTTTGCTGATCTCGACAAGTTGATCATGAAGACAGCTGAAGATGCCGCTGAGAGCAATCAGCCTCTACAAGAAAAGGTGCGGAGATTTGCCCCTGCCTTTGCTGGCTCATTTGCGCTATTGTCACTGTACGACCCCCAGACCAGCAGACTACATGTAGCCTGTACCGGCGACTCACGAGCAGTTCTTGGACGACAGAGTCCAGACGGCAAGTGGGAAGCGGTTCCGCTATCTATCGACCAGACTGGCAGTAACGTGGCGGAAGTCGCAAGGTTGAACACGGAGCACCCGGGCGAAGAAGGCCTCGCTCAAGACGGCAGGGTTCTAGGGCTTGCAGTTTCACGGGCCTTTGGTGACGGGCGATGGAAGTGGCCATCGGAAGCAACAAAGGACTTCAGTACGAGGTTCTGCGGCCCCGGCGCCCTACCATCAAAATACAATATCCAGACACCACCGTATATAACTGCCGAACCGGTTGTAACGACAACCGCGATTCAGTCGGGCGGGCCTTCCTTCCTGATCCTAGCGACGGATGGTTTGTGGGATCGCTTGTCAAATCAGCAAGCTGTTAACCTCGTGGTGGCATGGCTGGATTCCGGATCCCTAAGGGAGGATAGGAAAAACAGCAAATCGGAGCCAACATCATATGCACCGTTCGACTTTGGTGATTTCTGGAAAGGAGTGAATCCGAACTTCGTTGATGAAAGGACAACTATCCAGGACGATAATGCTGCCGTTCATTTGATGCGGAACGCCCTAGGTGGGAACCATTCCGAGTTACTAGCTGGAAGGCTTGCTCTCACCCCTCCTTACTCCCGGAACCGGAGAGATGATATAACGGTCCAGGTAGTCTTCTTCAACAATACCATAGCTCAGGCAAGAAAATAGAGGAAGTCGATGTACCGCTAAGGACCGAATGCTGGAAATAACCTCATCTTGAGAATGAGATTTCCGGTTGCGATATCCTGACTTCCAGAAACTAAGAAAGGTTTCCCAAAAAGAAATGGTCCCGGAGGGGGTCGAACCCGCGACCTTCGCATCACCGATATTTCCCAATTTGGGAAGTATTAGTACGACGCTCTAACCAACTGAGCTACGGGACCAGTTACTGTTGAAAGCTCGAAAAGACTTGTTAACCATATACTCCTTTTTCTCTCTCAACCCCTGGTAGAAACCATTTTCTTCCAAACCACGCAACCCACCCATTTGTCTGTCTTCTCTCCAACACAGCCTTGGAACTTCTTGCCGACTACAAACACATCAACCTCACTCAAGAGACCCTTTGGCTCCTTTCCTCCAGACTGTGCAGTGTCGTTATCACTCTACATTATAGCTGCTGCAGTTCTCTTGCTCCACTCGACCTTTTCAACCCTCCTTTCACCCAAATCCCCAACATGAGCGACAGACCAAACGGCGGCCACAGTCGCGGCCCGCGCAGATCACCAGACGGCGGCCGTCCGTTTGACCAGCAACAAGGTGGCCGCAGCGATCGTGGTGATCGCGATCGCGACAACAATAGCAACAGCAACAAACGACGCTATCGCTCTCGGTCTCGCGATCGTGGCGACGCCGGCAGACATAGCGGCGGCGGCAGCAACAACAACAACAGAAATACCAGGGACGACAGGGACAGCTACAGAGACAACAAGCGCGATGGTCGAAGCGGACGCGACAGGGACGGCAACAGGGATCGAGACCGTGGCGGGCGTGGCGGGCGCGACGGACGCGACGGACGCGACGGACGCGATGGAGGATATGACTCTCGACGTCCTAGAGACTACGATTCTAGAAGGGGTGTTGGCAGGGCAGACGGCGCGTCTCGGTACAGGAGCGGTAAGATACTACTCAGTCGACTACTTGCGTCTTCTGAGCAAATTGCTGATGTTTGTTTACTTTCAGAGGACCGCCGCCGGTCTGCCTCTCCCGGACGTAGCGCGAGTCCCAGCACCACAGATCTACCGACCAGGAACAAGACAGGCGCCACTCAGCCGTCCATCCACACCAAGGCTGGTGACAAAGCAGGTGAGCCAGGTAGCCGTCGTGGCGAAGGTGGCCGTTCTCACCCAGCAGACGGTGAGCGCGACCAGAACCACACGCCGGAACAGGAACCAAGCGAGAGGGCTCGACAGCAGACCGAGCGCCACTATGACGAGCCAGCTGCCGAGCCAATGGACGAGGACGATGATGTCGAAGTGGAAGATGACGGGATGGGCGACATGGCTGCCATGATGGGCTTTGGCGGGTTTGGCACTACCAAAGGCAAGAAGATTGCAGGCAACAATGTTGGAGCGGTGCGCAAGGAGAAGAAGACGGAATACCGGCAGTACATGAACCGCCAGGGTGGATTCAATAGGCCGCTGAGTCCTTCGCGCTGAAGGGAAGAAGGATGCATGGACGCATGACCTTTGCAAGAACCGAGCAGGGCTGCTTGTTGCATTCTTATCTGACGGTTCGGGAGCAGGACTGCCAGCCAGTGAGTGCATACAAACAGGTCTGTCGCATATCCCGGCAAGACGAAGCACCGGTTCCGTTGCTACTCTCCATGGTCAGTCATCACAAAGCGCTGTTTTGTTTTTATGGTGTTAGGTCTGACCTTGGCTAAATGACATACAGTCGTGGCATCTGCTCGCTCGTCTCTGTTGTACACAGGTGAGTACTCATGCATCTGCCGATGTCTCTATCTGCCGTGTCGAAAGTGAAGTTGTCATTTCACTGTGGAATTGAAATACAGCGATCGTAGAATGTAGATGCGTCGGCTTCATGTTCCTTACAAAGCCCAGTGGTGATGGATAACCACTCGTATTGTCTGAGAGGACCATGGGGATGTCATGAAAAGTATATGATTGCTGCCTTGAAGATACCGCTGATACAAAACTAAAAAAAGAAGAAAAATGAGACAAAATTTGGTCTCGCCAAACGCATGCCTCAGTTTCCAGTCTGATTAATATATCACCAATTTAAGCCATTGGTACAGCAATCAAAGGCGTTGATCGGTTCATAAGCTGTTGATAACCAGTCAATTACCATCACACCTTCGTCTGCCCGTCCAAAGCGCCCGAGCTACTATTCCCTTCTTCTTCCTCTTCCTCCTTCTTTTCATCATTCCCTTGGACCCTCAACAACAACAAAGACCCAGACGCCAACAACTTAAACACAGCTGTCAACAGCAAACACAACGCCGGCTTGTAAAACCGATACGCCAACCCACCCACAAGGCCACCCGTGAAGAAGACCACGATAAACACGATCCGCTCATCCCGCGGCTTGTTCCTGGCAGCCAACACGCGCGGATCTGAAAAGAAATCCGCCATGGCGCCAGTCGCAACCTGCGTCGGCATCGTCGGCGGGCCATTCATGCCCTTGGTCGTGACGTTTTGACAGCCCATGGAGAAGGAAAGCAGCGCCACGGCGATATACTCGGTCCTGCCATCGCCGCTCTTGATCAGCCCGCCCCAGAGCAGGCCCACGACGAGGAAGACGAGCAGCGATTGCTGCACCATGTCGGCAACGACAAAGTAGCGCTTCTTGCGCCCGCCCAGTCGGTAGCCGAGCTGCCCGCTTGCTGCGGAGCCGGCCCACGAGGCGAGTAGCGAGGTGATGGCTGCAATGGGATGGACGTCGTTCGGGTCGATGGCGGCGAGCTGCGCGGCCGACAGGGCGAGGAAGACAATGTTACCGGTGTTATTGGCGGTGAAGACGCCCAGAAAAGGCACGCTGAAGACGTCGACGGCGGCGGCGGCGAAGGAGAGCAGGAGGAGGAAGGGCAGGTGTTGTGCGCGGTTGGGGTTGTTGCGCGCAAAGTCGAGGTCGGTTTGCCAGTAGGCGCGGGTTCTGATGCGCTCGAGAAGGGAAGCCATTGTTCCTGTTCGTCTGGATGGCACGACGTTGGCGGTGAGCGACAGGCGACAGCGAGACGGTGAAGACGCAAGGTTTATTGGTGATGCATTCGAGACAAGTGTGTCAATTCACAAATGTCATCTATCGGGTCATCAGCCTCCAATGGACCGCATCATACTTTGCCGACTTTAGTATTTGGTTCGTGTGGACATTGTTCACCAAGATAAAAGGACGGCGTTGCGTCGTGTGGGAAATGGAATATCCGGAGCGGAGACTAATAAAAACCCACGCTGGAAAGCCCGCAATATCCTCAGCAGAGACGACAAAACTATATCTCACCGCCTACGAATGATAGTCCTTAGTGTTGCAAAACATGGATCGGATCGCCTCTGGAAACTGGCAATATGCCACTCAGACCTCTTGATCTAAACCGAACCTGTATGAGCCGTATGGTTGATGAAGTGTCTTGATTTACAGAGAATGCAAGTCACGCCAAACCCCCCGGCTGCGCTTCCGGACTCTAGATCTAGACGCCGCTCTGTCCGGATCTGCGAACGACAAATTCCACGCCACGCCGAACCATGACAAGCTGCAGGTTGCCGTCGACGCTGTGTTGGATCATCTCGGATGCTTGGTGTCCAAGTCCAGCCTCGATAGATATTAGCCGGCAAATCTTGTCGGATCAAGACAGCCACAATGCTACGGGCCGTTACAGTTCATCAACCCCAAGAACGGCCTGCTCACCGGCCTCTCCTGGAGTGCCACCAACCGTTGTGACAACCACTTCTTCGTTCTCGTCCTCGCCCTTGCCAACAATGTCCACAAGCAAATACTCCCTGACAACCGCCGTCCCCTTCTTGAGCGCTTCTGTTTCCTCTTCAGAGCACGTCCAAGGCTGCAAGATATAGCACTGCGGCTTGGGCACCCCAAACACCTCGTTCTTCCTCCACCACGTGTCTTTGTATCCTTTTGTAGCAAAAACAGGTGTAGCAAAAACAGGCGTCTTTGCCGCACTGTCATCATGGCCGTGTTCAGATCCCTCATCAGCACCAGCCCATCCACCTGTCCTCGTCAAGTCCACCGATCCCGTTGCTATGTCCCGATTAAACAGCGACCTCTCGAAGATGCGCAGCGACGCCTCAGGCTGATAACTCGGAACCATGTGTCCAGCCTGGAAGACCCTAGTAAAGGACAGGTTCCCATGTTGCCGTGTTAATCCATAGGGCACAAATGGCGGCTGCAGATCCGCGTCGTTGTCGTGGTGATCGTTTCCCACCGTTAGCGCCGTGTACCCAGCCTCTGCAAACTCCTTTTGATACCGATGCGGTATGGCCAACGACGCAGCTTCCCCGCCAATCCAATTGCACGCAAAGTCCCGATCGCCATACATGAGGTGGACTTTGATGCCGGCATCGAGCAAGTCCGCCAGCGCGTCGAGCTGCCCCCCCCGCGCCAAATCGCCATGGAGCTGGAACGCTGCAGATACCGCGGGTGAGCTCCAGGTGAAGTTGACGGGGACCCCGAGAGCGCGCTGCACCCACTGCTGTTGCAGGTAGCCAAGCAGGTAGTTGTGCGGGAAGGGGTCATTTGCTGGGTGGGTAATGTCGAACCAGCCGTGGGCCTGCGATTCCATGTATGGCTGGATGAGGACGCTCATGGCAATGTTGGTTGCGTTGCGGCAGACAGCTTCAACGTAGGCTGGGTCGGGCTGCTCAGATGCCACAGATGAAAGTGAAGAATGCTGAAGCTTGTCGAGACGCTGGCATTTGGCCACTTGGTCCAGGATCCCACCAGCGCGGTGCAATTCCCACAGCTGGTTGTGCAGGATGGTCTCGTTGACAGCCTGTACGCCGTACGTGTTGTTGTTCGCCATGGCTGAGTATGATGCGGAGGAGAGGGCGTTGTCGATGCATCCGTTGATGATGCCGAGCGTGTCGAGGTGGAGGTAATGCGTACCGGGTCCTGCAATCTCGCCACGAGTTATCTTGTCGTTTTGCCTTGCAAAGACTGTCATTTGAGGGGATAGTCAGTCTTCTGTCTAGAGCGAATTGACAAGGCCGAGCAAGGAAAATGGCCGTACAATGCATGAACGCCGGTCCGTAGTGGCCTCCATAACTCTCCGTCCAGAGGCTGATCTTCTCGTCGTGAGGCTTGTACTGCGGGAACCTAGACACAACGCCGTCGACTTAGCTCAAGCCACTGATATCCATCGTATCGAGGACAAGACAGCAAAACAGCAGCTCACTCGTCAAACCACGTCTGCGCA